TAAAAAGGTAACCCTATGTTAAATAGGGCATGACTATAGAGAACTAATCACAAAATGGGATTAGAAGGGGACCACAAAGTTCCTTTGTCCAAAATTACCTCCACTCCTTACCTGTCACATTGCCTAAACTCTTATCTGTATTTCTATATTTGAGGCAGAGCACCTTGCCTTCCCCCAGGAGGTCTACAGTAAGTCATTATCTTCTATTAACACTTTACAGTGACACTACATATAGAGTTAATTTTCATTTGGATACCAGGTATGAAAAGGTCACTGAGGAAATGAGAGTTTTGATGCAGATGAAATTGATTCTGAAATCAGAAAGAAGGCAGATCTGGACAGATCACCTTGGTTGAGGACACTGGTCAAAAAAGGGACAACATAAGGGCATGTGGAATTGAGTATGATAATGCAGAAAGAAGTGGCCAAGATATGGAAGAAGGAATCAGAAATAAGTCAGTGATAAAAGCAAACTCTGCCCTCTATAATGGTTAATTTTATGTATCAACTTGGCTGAGCCACAGTGCCCAGATATTTGGTCAAACACTATTCTGGATGTTAGTGTACTTTGGATGAGATTAATATTTAAACCAGTGGACTTTGAGTAAAGCAGATTGCTCTTTATAATGCAGGTGGGCCTCACACAATCAGTTGAAGACCTGAATAGAACACAAGACTGACCTCCCTGGAGCAAGAAGGAATTAGGCAGCACTCAGCCTTTGGACTTCAACTGCAACATTGGCTCTTCCCTTGTGTCCAGTCTGACAGTCCACCCTGAAGATTTCAGACTTGCCAGCCTCCATAATTACATGAGCCAATTCCTTGAAATAAATACTTAGATAAATAGATACAATTCATTTTGTTTCTCTGGAGAACCTTAATACATCTACTTAATGTTGATCTTACTGATTTTCTCAATGCTGAATATATGAATTTGTTTTAAATTTCTAAAGGATAGAGCTTTTAATGACAAAGAATAGAAATCCACTCAAAGTAGCTAAAGAGGGGATTTATTGGCTAATGTCATTGGAAAGGACAGGGGTACAGTTTCAGGCACACCTGTATCCAGGGACACAAACGGTATTGTCAGAACTCCCTTTGATTCTCTCTCCTTGACCCTATGCACAGGGAAATGACCCTCAAACACCTCTGAAATCACATCTTTATAGTCTGCAGTCCAAGGGGAGAGAGGCTATTCCTCCATCCTCACTTTTCATATTCTAGGCAAGGATTCGGATGGGTCCAATGCAGACTCCTATGCCCCACTCATTCGTGTGGCAGAAGGCAGGACACTGTGATTAGACAATTCGACCAGCACCACATGGAGTCACCAGAGGCACACAGAGCCAACAAGAGAGCCAGCAAGTTCCCCCAGCACCACGTAGACTCCTTTTCCTCAAAGGAAAGGGGAAGGTGTTGCTAAAAAATGAAGGGACACCTGGAAGACATGAACAAAAGATGCCCACTACATCAGATGAACACAGCCTTGACTGCCCCACCAGGAAACCTCAAGCTTAGGAACAAAGGATGCGGACTCCCACTAGAATTAGGATATTCCCCTATACTCCTCTCTGCGGTGCCTCCAACTTTTCCCAGTAGGCAGAACCTGGGGCAGAGTTTTCTAGCTCTGCTAGAAGGAAACTCACTCTACTGCCTAGAAATTGTCCACAAATAGGAAACCATGAGATTAACTGGTCCTATCTATTTCTGTTCTGTAGGATGTGATCAGGGCTGGAATGAAAGCAGACCATTCATGGAGCTGCCTAGAGCTGAAAGATCACTAGAAATGTAAGGTGACAGGAAAAAAAAAAAAATACAATTTCCTAGTTTCTTTCAGGTGATACAAAGGCATTTCTGCATAGCCTACAAGAACCCTGTCAAGATTGCATAGATAACTGTTGTGGGGAAATGGAGTATAAAGCTGGGTTTTCCCAAGAAGATATAAATTCCCACTGGACTGAAGAGCAGCTAGCTTCCTACTGCTGGAAAAAGGGTGGTGGTGTAGGGGGGAAGAACACATATGCACATACCACTGCTTTGGCTCATTAGAGTCAGGAGCAAATAAAAGATGGAAGACTCTGGCCCACTAGAAAGCAGCACCTATGAAGGCAAGGAATGCTCTCCCCCATCAGGTAAGAATACTCAGGAGGGGTATGTGGGTCTAATCCCCTTAAGACAAAATATAGGGTCTGCAGCCAGAATGCCAGGGTTCATATTCCTGGTTTTTCCACTGAAGTTGTATGGCAACGGAAAACGTACTTCTCCCTGTGCCTCATGGGGACAGTAACAGTTACCGATCTCATAGGGTTAAATGACTTCATAAATGTAAGGTGCTTATAATAGTGTTTGTCACATAGTGAATGCCAATGAAAGTTTGCTATTTTTAAATATTTTACTTGTCATTCTGGATAGCGCTTCATCCTAATTCTCATTAGCAAAAAATCCTCCAAGTGTTTGGCTGACTCTTGGCCAATAATCTTAGTTTCAAATGTCCCATGTTCATAAAGGGTTTTCCAATAATACTTGCAAGATTTTATACATTTTGGGGGACTAATTTTTGTTTTTACCAAACACAACTTAATGTGAATGATTACTTCCCTTTTTTGTGGACCGTATAGGAGAAAATAAAGTATAATTTAAAAATTCAAAAGTAAAAACTTTTACCTGATTAAACTCCATCTTCTAAATTAACTTTTGATCAAAAAAGTGGCTCAATTAATTTAAAAATATATTGTGTTCATTTTAAGATTGGTATTTGGCACCATCTGCCACAAATAAAAAAAGCAGTAAAATTAATGTACCAACTCCTCCATGATTTACCAAGGCTCTTTGTTAGAAGGCAACCAGCTTCAAGTGACAGCACCTGCAAACAGTAGTTGTTCAAAACAAGGAAACCTCTTATCTCACATGATATTCTGAAAATGGGTGGTTCCCGGGCTAGCTCAAAAGTCAATAATGTCCTCAAGAATCCAGGCCTTGTTTCCTTCTTCTTTGCCATTCTCAGTGGACTGGCTTTTCATCATGATTTTAAGTTGACTGTCATAGCCTTGACATTAAGTTTTCATTCTACAGCATACCAAACAGGAAAGAAAAGAATCGAGGGGAAAAGGGCCCTCTTTACATAGATTAACTCTCTCTCTTAATCAGGGAAGAAAATCTTTTAAAAACACTCCAGTAGACCCTCTCTTCCAGCTCGTTGGCCAGAGCTGGGTCATATGCCCACACCTAAACTAATGACTGGCAAAGAGAAAAGGAGTCAAAATGACTGGTTGAGATTAGTTATAATTAATCCCCTGAGGTGGGATCTACCTTCCCTGGTCACATCACAAATGATAATTGACAGGGCACCTGGGTGGCTCAGTTGGTTAAGTGTCTGCCTTCAGCTCAGGTCGTGATCCCAGGGTCCTGGGATTGAGCCCCACATAGGGCTTCCAGATTGGCAGGGAGTCTGATTCTCCCTCTGCCACTCCCCCTGCTTGTGCTCGCTCTCTCTCAAAAAAATAAAATCTTTAAAAAAGAAAAAAAAAGAAATGATATTTGAAAGGGCCTCCACCACTAGATTCTGTAGCACTCTGTTCAGCCCACTGTTTGCTTCTGTACCATTTCCAGGGAAGGACTTTCACTTTACACTCAGGCCGTACTTCGCTTCTTGCAGTTCCCAAATACATTTCACAGCTTCCAGATTCTGTTTACACTGCTCTGTATGTCTAGGAAGATCTTCCCCACCTTTCCTCCTGTTTCTCATGGCTGCTCCCTTTTGCAGAAAATCTTCCCAATACCTTGGCCTCTCAGTTCCACGATTTCCTTTCCTCCAAGAATCTAATTCACTCCCCACTTCAGCCACTTATTTCATGGCCATACCCAAGACTTGTCATTAACTCTATCTCCTCATCTCAATTTCCTGTAGCTTCTTAAGGGCAGGTTAATGTGTCTAGTCTACAAAGCAATTCCCAGAGTCTGACCTGAATTCATCTATAATAGCTCAGGGAACAAATTCTCCAACCCCACTGTCTGGTTCTATGAACCAAAGGACAAACATATAAACTTTAAATCCCAGCATTTACAAATCCTGGAGTTCTTCCTGTTTCCATCGCTATCTTTTTTTTTTTTTTAGATTTTATTTATTTGAGAGGGAGAGCAGAGTGAGAGAGAGCATGCACAGAAACGGGTGAGGGGTAGAGGGAGAGGGACAAGGAGACTCTGCGCTGAGCAGGGAACCCAGTTTGGGGCTCGATCCCAGGACCCTGAGATCATGACCTGAGCTGAAGGCAGACGCTTAACCCACTGAGCCACCCAGGTGCCCCTCCAACCCTATCTTAATATCGATACTTTTGGGAACCAGAATTCCAGAAATACAATGTACCACTGCTATTTCCCTCTTATCATGATATTGTCTGTGAACTACTGTCTCTGAATATTATAGAAAATGAGAGAGAAGGGTAATTTACTATGTTGGATATCTGAAAAAGCAGTACCTCTATGGTAGAAAGATAACTGACCAAATTTCTGGCATGGCACGGATTATAAATCTCTGAGTCGGGAGAAGCCAGTGGAAGAAGAACCAAAGCAGTTTCTCATCTTTTTTTTTTTTTTTTTTAGAGATTCTGCTTCAAAAAATAAAGCCTGAGCATACTAAGGCAGCTTTTCCCTCAATTCAGCCTGCTGTGTTTTCTACCAATGGAAATTCTGTCTACGTTCTGGAACTTGGTTCTTTTATTAGTTTTCAGCATTATGACTACTTTTTTGGGGGAAGGGGGAGAGAGGGAGAGGGAGAGAGAAAATCTTAAGCAGGCTCCACGCCCAGTGCAGAGCCCAAAGTGGGGCTCGTTCTCACAACCCTCAGATCATGAGTTGAGCCGAAATCAAGTCAGACACTTAATCTAGTGAGCCACCCAGGCACCCCTAACCAGATACCATTTTTAAGCCAGAAATGGTTTAGTTTCTTTTAACAAGATAAAAATCCAGTAAAGATAGTTTCAAATATTTCACAAAAAGCTAAGCCATTTTAGAGTATTTTTATAAGCATTCTCCTCATTTACTTCTGTATAAAAAAAGTAAATAAATTAAATGAGGGAAAATGAACTGCTTCATACATTATGCAAAGAAGGAACCATGAGAAATAAAGAACAAACATTAAAATATCCCTGGATAAAATCCACGTGTACAGAGGATGATTCAGGATGTTATAAATAACTCATATGAGGTAAAGCAAACATTGCAATGTTTATATATCAGTCTCCAAAAAAGGGGCATATTTTATTAATCCTCAAGTTCCTTAGCAGATTAATAATAAAAGCTTGGTATATATTATCAATAAGTCCAACTGCTGGGCCCAAAGAAAATTCTAATTATTTTAAGGTGAGTTTGCTTCTTTTTCATCTGATTCATCATCCATAACCTAAAACCAAGAAAAAAAAAAAGAATTTAAGAATTAAGAAAAAGATTAGAAATTGCTATTTTCCTGATTATACCATTACTTGCTTACCTGAAATACTCTACTCTATAATAATGCATGTCAATCCAGTAAGGCCAAGTCTATCAACAGCCCCCAAAACACAAGTTTGTCTCATAATCTGGCAAATTTAATATTGCAAATTAATTAAGTACTGGTCTCTTTTTCTTGTCCCAAAAAAATTTTCCAGTACCAGAGTCTCAGCTGGACACTGACTATAACAATTAATTAATTGGTATTTCCTAGCCACAAGACTAATATGATTAACTTTTTTTTCCCAAAAATATTCTATTTACTTAAATATATTCTTAGGAGCTACACCAAACTTTTATAAAAATATATTATTAGAAAAATGAATCCCTAAGAAAAGTAAAGAAAATATCATACTAGCAACTAATTGTTTTGGTCTTACTCAGATAAAAATTCATTTTAAACCTTAGAAAAATGTGAGGACCTTCATTTCTAATAAGTTAAATTATTAGAAAAATACTAATGAATACCTGATTTAAAAAGGAAAAGATTAATCTTTTTTTTAATGATTTATTCATTTGAGAAAGAAAGCATGTGTGGGGGGGGTGAGGGGGTTGGGGGAGGGGCCGAGGGAGAGACTCTCAAGCAGACTCCCAGCTGAGCATGGAGCCCATGCCAGGCTCGATCTCATGACACCAAGATCAGACTTGAGCCAAAACCAAGAGTCGGACGTGTAACCAACTACACCACCCAGGTGCCCCAAGATTAGTATCTTTTCATGAGTTAATATATTACTCAGAAAATAAAGAATTGTCCTTCGGAGAGGAAAAAAGTTATATAAACTCATGAATTTTTTTTTTCAACATACCTACTACAATTAAACACCAATTCAAGTTTATAACCTGACTACCAATTCATCACCCCACCCTGGACAAGTGAACAAATGTTCCTTTGTCAATCCACCAAAGTGTCAAGTAATGCAATTCTTTAAAGAGGCATATAAGGCATAGAGAAGATTATGAAACAAAAATAAGTTTGTTTCTTTAAATCTGGAAGAATTTGGTTCTGATCTGAGATATCATGGAAAAATAATTCCCCCATATTTTCTCTTTTGAGTTGAGTAAAAATAGATATTTCCTTCTAAGGAATTGATATTTTTATAATTAATCTCAGCAACATACAATCCAAAGAATTTTGTCAATCAATTCCTATTTTAGGCAGAATATTCCTAAATTTGGAAACATTCTTCCAAATACTTATTTAATACAAAGAATGTACACAACATGTTCAACACACAGGGCTAAGTGTTGCAGAGGAACACAAAGACCTGGATATAATGACAAGTCTTTCAAGGAACTTACCCATAAACATAAATCTGAAACAGACACAATGAAAGAGGCTTTGGACCGAAGCAGAGCCTAAGTCCACGGAGAAGACCAATAAGGCTTTCAAAGAGAAGATGCCATGTATTGTACTGAAAGGACAGATTTTAGTACTACCCAGAGATGAGTGGTTCTCAAAGGAGCTGAGGAGATTCCCTCGCCCTAAAGGCACAGAATGATCTGAAGAGTTTTTTCAAATTTCTCATTTCCATACATTCTTTTTTCCTCCTTGATAATCTCCTTCCATAAGGCCAAGCCTCTTGGTTGAGAATTGCTGCAGTGAAGGTCACTATTTACTGCTGAGATGGATCTGTGCTATATTCCTGAGGTACCTTGGGGCAGAAAAAATGCTGCTATCAGGCTAGAACTCCGCTCAGTACTCTGTCTTACTGCACAACAAAGTATGATTTCTCGATGAGTTTCTTGCCTGGATGAGTATGATGCAGTGGAGCTCTTCCACTGAGGACTTCCAACTCTCATCTATGAAATTCATGTTTTGAATCCCCTTTTCATAATTTTTCTACAATCAGAGCAGCAGTATGACCTCTGAGTCTCCATTTCCTTATGTACAAAATGGGGAACAACTTACTCAATACTGTGTTGTGAGAAGATTAAAGGAGTAATGTTTGTAAGAAGGCCTGGCAAATAGTAGGTATTCATAACACTAAAGTAGATTCTAAAATAAGGAGTCTTCAGTCTGATAATAATTGTAACACTGAGATCCAGCCCCTGAAGAATATGTCAGGTCATGAATTTCTTCTTTTTATCCCCAAATACTGAGTTTAATATTGAATCTCAATTGTCATATAATATTGGCATACCTGTTCTACACCCTCTACTTCTGGAATATAAAATTGCAGCATGTTCTGAATTCCATTTTTCAGAGTAATGATTGAACTGGGGCAGCTGGTACAAGAACCTTGGAGTTTCAGCTGTACAATGCCATCTTCAAAGCCTTTATAGATAACGTCTCCTCCATCTTCCTGCACAGTTGGCCTGTGGTCACAGAATATTTGTTATGTATGTAAAAGAACTGAAGTTTCCATCAAAAATATTTAAAACAACTCAGGGCTTAGATTTATATTGGTAAAATTCACAAAGTTAGAGCTACTTATACAATAGAGAATGAGAAATATAGCTAGTCTCATTTGTAACTTTTTAAAAATTTTCAGCTAAAATGCCAAAATTCATTCATACAAATATTTGCTTCACTTATTATATTTAATTCTGCTTATTAATAATCTTTTTAGGGATTTAAGATCTCAAATGTCCTAATAATTACAGCAATTACCTAAGATAATACCCATTTCTTTTGAATGAACAGAGACCGACTAATATGACACATGCTGGCTTTTTTTTTTTGCCAGATAAACTTTGCATCGAAATATAACATTAATACAGAAAAATGCACAAATCACGTATGATCAATTAAATGAATTTTTACAAAGTGAACACACATTTGTCCCAGGCCAAGACACAAAGCTAGCACCCCAGAAGTCCCCCTTGTGCCTCCTGGCAACCAAAGGTAACCATTTCCTAATTGCTATTACCATTGATTAGTTCTGCCTGTTTTGTAACTTTATGATTTATAAATATAAATTCCATTTAAAAAACATATAGCATTTACTCTTTTGTATTTGGCTTATTTTGCTCTTTATGAGATTCTTCCACATCATCACATAGTGTTCCATTAAGTGAAAATGCCAGATTTTATCCCTGTTGTTGTGGATGGACTTTTGGGTTAAAATCAGATTTTGGCTTTTACAAACAGTGCAGCTATGGAGATTCTTGCAGATGTCTTTTGGCATATATATATATATGACTATTGGAAATGAGCATGGAATTGCTGGATCAAGAATGTACATATATTCACATTTAGTAGATACAAACAGTTGCCCTCTGCCCAGGTTATCATACTCTAGCCTCACACCAAAATCAGCAAAATGACCCACGGGAAGGCTTCATGAGCTTCCCTCCTCCATAGGATCTTGTGTGCTTTGGCAGCTCTCTACTGTTTACAAACAAACAAAAAATTCATTGTATTTTATTGTATTTCTGGGAGTTCTCACAAGGACCATTGGTCCGCTACAAGCAAAAGTGGAAGCCTGTGGTTCTTTTTTTTTTTTTTTTTTAAAGATTTTATTTATTTGACAGAGAGAGACACAGCGAGAGAGGGAACACAAGCAGGGGGAGTGGGAGAGGGAGAAGCAGGCTCCCTGCTCTGCAGGGAGCCCGATGCGGACTCGATCCCAGGACCCTGGGATCATGACCTGAGCCGAAGGCAGGCGCCCAAAAGTGGAAGCCTGTGGTTCTCCACTCATTTAAATTTATTCTTTATGGGCAATAGCCTGAAAAAAAGTACTTCTCTTCTCACAATCTACCCAAACACTGTTTAACTCATTTTTTCATTTTAAGAAATTTGGTATTATAACAGTATCAAACCTAGACAGTGTCTGTGAAAGATAAACTCCTTCACTATGTTTAGACAGACTGTCTTAAAATTTTGAGTGAATATACAGAATGTACAGGCTTTAAATTCAACTGCCATGGTTACCTATTACGGTTTACATTCACTTCTACTTATTTATTCGAGCTTTTTTTCCTCACAGACAACTAAAAGTATACTGCTATAATGAAAATTGCCTCTGCAGTATATTTGATTTTGGGCAGAATGATGAGCACATACCGTATTCTAGTATCTAACAATTCCTTAATCATTGCCACAACTTCATCATCTTCTTCAGATCCTAGAAACAATTACAAATAAAATAAATCAATGGTAGAAATTTTATATCCATGCAAATACAAGTATTAAAACAGGATGATTTTAACTTAATGTCTCATTAAAAAAAAAATAAAAGCATAGAACATGTAACTTGGTATGGTGATGTAAGGGAAATGGAAATGATAGTTGGGAAGATGGAAAGATCATTCGATTCTCTGAAGAAAAACTTTTTTTTTTTTAAGATTTATTTGAGGGAGGGAGAGAGAAGGTGCGCATGCACGGGAGAGAGGGGCAGAGGGAGAGGGAAAGAGAGTTCAAGCAGACTCCACACTGACTGCGGAGCCCGATATTGGGCTCAATCCCATGACACTGAGATCACAACCTGAGCCGAGGCCAAGAGTCTGTTGCTCAACTAACTGTGCCACTCAGGCACCCCTTGATTCGCTGAAGAAAAATTAAGGAGCACTGGTCAACTCAACACTTGGCAATAAAGGTGAGTAACTGACATAACCTGATCTACTAATGATGTCAGGGTTTGAATTTTTTTGGTTTGTAAACTTTCATCATCCTCGAGGACTGAGAAATGGTAGAGAAAAAAAATTGCCTGGATTCTGATGGAAAGTGTGAGACACAAAGGCACACCTACTTTGTAAGTTAACTTACATTTTTAATTTTTCAATTTAGTGGTTTTCAAAATGACAACTATACTAAATATAGATATAAGCCTTATGGAAATTTTCAAAATGTTAAAAAATCAGTTTTTTCATTTTGTGTCATTTTTGTTTTTCTTTTACTTTATAAGGTTATATACTGATCTTCATCAATACCTTTTTTATGGGTTTAAAAATTTTTTTGAGAAATTTACCTTTAGGAAAACTAAAAATTAGATAATTCAAATTATACTATAATACATACTAGAGTTCTGACAACAATGTAACAATTATCAATATTAAATTATATTAACTTTGAGTCTTTTTTAATAAAAGAAAGAAAATATAATAAAATTAAAATCTCTTATGTCAAGACACCTGGGTGGCTCAGTCAGTTGAGCATTGGACTCTTGGTTTCAGCTCAAGTCATGATCTCATGGGTCATGAGATCGAGCCCACATCAGGCTCCACACTCAGCAAGGAGTCTGCTTGAAAGATTCTCTCCCTCTGCCCCTCCCCACACATGTGAGTGTGCATGCTCTCACTCTAAAATAAATAAACAGGGCGCCTGGGTGGCTCAGTTGGTTAAGCGACTGCCTTTGGCTCAGGTCATGATCCTGGAGTCCCGGGATCGAGTCCCGCATCGGGCTCCCTGCTCAGCAGGGAGTCTGCTTCTCCCTCTCACCCTCCCCCCTCTCATGCTCTCTTTCTCTATCTCATTCTCTCTCAAATAAATAAATAAAATCTTTTAAAAATAAATAAATAAAATAAAATAAACAAATCTTTAAAAAAAAATTCTCTTATGCCAGCAAACCTAAGTTCCATTCCCCACTATCATTCCATAAACAACCACTATCATAGTTTAGCATATATCTTTCCAGTACATTTGCATTAAATTTACATGTGCAAACTTACAGAGATAACATACACACACTGTTCTATATCTTTTTTCTATTTAATATATCTAAAAGGCCTTTCCATATCAGCATATATAGATATGCCTCAATTTTTAAAATAGGTACACAGTAATTGTATGGATTTTTTTTTCATTTAGCTAATTTCTCAATTATTTCAGTTGTTTCCAGTTTGTTACTATTTCTAACAATCTGAAGCATACATGCTTCCGTGTACTTTTGCAACATCTGAAATATTTCTCACATATCTACATATCTATGAGATAAATTCCTAGTGGTGGAATATTTGGGTCAACAGGCTTGCGTATTTTTTACTCTGGGGAGGTGTAGTCAAGTGGCTCTACAAACATTCTGTCAATTCTATGTATATACCCACCAAGAACAAATATAATTGAGATATTATTTCAAGTTTGCATAAATAGTATATATGTAAAAGTATATAAATAAATGTACCCTTCAATTTTCCTTAATCAGTTAATATTTTCTTTTATATCTTTTCAAATTGGTATCTCCAAATCTAGTTCATTCTTTTTAACTGCTGATATATTTTAAAAATATTTCAATGAACATGCTTCATGTATTGTTTTGTGTACATTTACAGGACTCACTGAGGGTATATATCTAGAAGTGGAATTGTTCATCTAAAGACTATACAAATTTTTGTGTGTACATGCATATGTACATGTAAACACACATGGCAATATCGTTATACTAGGGGAAAGAAAAACTTCATCAACAACAAATCGTAATAGTCACAGCTAATACTAAGTTCCATATGCAGTGACTCTTCCAAGTGCTTTATACAAAGTAACTTATTCAAAAGGTACAAAAAGTACAAACCACAAAGGAAAGGATGAATATATGTGACTACATGAAAAAGAAAATGTCTGTGCTTGCTTCAACAGCATAAATACTAAAACTGGAATGAAACAGAGAATATTAACATGGCCTCTGAGAAAAGTTTACATGCAAATTCGTGAAAATTTAAACAACTGGAAAAAGAAAAATTTCTAAATGACAAAAATCCTATAGTGAGAAGATAAGGAATGGTTAGGGAGAAGTTCTTTGCAATGAATATACCTAACAAAGGATTAATACCCAGAATATTTTTCAAAAACCTGCTGAAGTCAATACCAAAAAATAAATAAATAAATAAATAAATAAACACACACAACTCAATTTTTAAACAATGGGTAAAGATTATGAACAGGAAATTTACTGACAAGAAAAATAATGACCAGTAAACATATGAAAACCTTCAGTCTCCGTGCTAATCAAGGAACTGCAATTAAAACAGGGTACCATTTATACTTAACATACTGGTTTTAAAAAAAAAGTAAAAGACACCAAGTGATGATAAAGATATAAGAAAGTTCAAATTCTTATATCCTGCTAATCTGCATGTAAATTAAAACAATTTACAATACAGCAATTCTGTTTTTAGGAATATACCCTAAAGAAATTCTCCACATACCCACAGAGACTTGTACAAGGATGCCCACTGTAGCAATGTTTGTAATAGAAATGAGCACAAACAATTCACTTGACCATAAGGAACAAATTCACTCACTGTAGTTTATTCATATAACAATACTATCTAGCACTTAAATAAACTAGAATGACATTTTTTTCAAAATGGTTGTATTTCAAAATATTATGCTCAGTGAAAAATGGCAAGTTGCATATAACACACATTATTTAAAGTTTAAAAAACCAATACCATATATTCCCCGCAGAGACTTACACGTGTAGTAAAAGTTTAAAAACAAACCAGGTTTACATACATCTCTGGAAATAGAAAGGGGAAAGCAGTGGATGGAGGTTGTGAGGTCTTGGCTGTATCTTTAATGTTCTATTTAAAAAGGGTCTCGGGGGCTTGGGTGGCTCAGTCCGTTAAAGCGTCTGCCTTCGGCTCTGGTCATGCTCCTGGAGTCCTGGGACTGAGTCCCACATCGGGCTCCCTTTAGCAGGGAGTCTACTTCTCCCTCTGCCCTTCACCCTGCTCGTGATCTCTCTCACTCACTCTCTCTCTCAAGTAAATAAAATCTTAAAAAAAAATAAAAATGGGTCTCAGGCAATTACCGCAAAAAATTAACATCTGTTAACTCTGAGAGGAGAGCAAATTGGTATACATCATATTATTTTCTGTATGTCTGAAAATTTTTATAATTGAAACACATCAGTTTTGTATAATATATTCAATTTATGCACAACTTTTCAAAAATGATGAATAAAACTAGTATATGTGAAGTCTTGTTCCCTCTGGAGTTGGTTCCAGATCTAAACAATGATAAAAATCTATATTATCATGACCTCCAAAATCAAGACAAATGCGAAGAAAGTAGAAAAGTTTTTTTTTAATTAAAATAAATATTAATTATCCAACACAGTACCTGCTTCTCCTGAAGATGTTTCCTCAGTAACTAAGGGTAAGCCAGAAGCAAAGAAATCCATGATTGTTGCATAAATATCTGGTTTCAGTAAATTCCAGTCTAACTCTTCACTTTCCTGTAAATATTTAAAGGAAAATGCTACATTTCTAATCAAGAGCAAAGACTAATACAAAATAATACTTTGTATCTTTTAAGAATCTTTTCCTATATATATCCTATACTGTGTAACAACAGCACTCATTTATGGAGAAGACCTATCAATTCCAGTCCTTAACAGATCTGGTTTATATTCGGAAGATATAATCTTAGAACATTCCTCATACATTCCTCCATTCATTCATCAAACTTATGTTAAATGCACCATGCCTTGTACAGGGGATACCACAATGATTAAAAGATACTTTTTCATGAGGTGAAGAGAGTTAAAACACTGAGTGAATTCGGTGAGAATGATAAAGAGACTTCCCATTCCTTTAAAGAAAATAGGATAGAGTTGCTTGATCAAATATACAGGACATCCCACAAGTATCCAAAAAATTCAACTCCTCGGGCGCCTGGGTGGCTCAGTCGTTGAGCGTCTGCCTTCAGCTCAGGTCATGATCCCAGGGTCCTGGGATCGAGTCCCACATCAGGCTCCCTGCTCGGCAAAAAAAAGCCTGCTTCTCCCTCTCCCATTCCCCCTGCTTGTGTTCCTGCTCTCGCTGTCTCTCTCTCTGTCAAATAAATAAATAAAATCTTTAAAAAAAAAAAAAAATTCAACTCCTATATTACTTAAGAGTACTAAAGAAATCCAATGACACAACTGTAGAACCAAAACATGTAACATGTCTTATCTATGGTGGTAGTGCTAGACTTGTGGACCTCCAAAAAGCCTGGTATCCTTAAGAAAGAATCCATACCTATGTCACCTCTATGTCTGGCCAACTAGTTGATTCCATCAAAAAAAGGCACGATTACTAAATACCTAAATAGTACTAATATCCAAAAAGAGAAAGGGAACATGTTTTCTTTTAGTTTTATATATATATATATATTTTTAAAGATTTTACTTATTTGACAGAGAGAGAAAGAGAGCATAAGCAGGGGGAGTGGCAGGCAGAGGCAGAGGGAGAAGCAGGCTCCCCGCAGAGCAGGAGGAGCCCGATGCGGGACTCGATCCCAGGACCCCAGGATCATGACCTGAGCCGGAGGCAGTCGCTTAACGGACTGAGCCACCCAGGGGCCCCTCTTTAAGTTTTTTAAAGGAGAGCTCTTTAGGAGGAAAGACTATTAGATGTAGTCCATTTAGACTCTCAGGAGGCTGTTAGCTAGGGGCTATGCTTAAATACTATTTAAAAATGAGTCTACATAAATAAAAGGGGCTAATTTTGTCATGGATTAAGAACCAATCTAGGGGCGCCTGGGTGGCTCAGTTGGTTGAGCATCTGCCTCTTGATTTCAGCTCAGGTCATGATCTCAGGGTTCTGGGATCGAGCCCCACATCAGGCTCCTTGCTCAGCATGGAGTCTGCTTGAGACTCTCTCTCTCTGCTTGCACGCACTCTCTCTCTCTCTCAAATAAATTGAAATCTTTAAAAAAAAACAAATTTAGACATGGTATACAGAAGACAAGATAAATGGGCACTGCTATGAATACGAGAGCAAAACTAGTGAGTTGCCTTAGTGACTGGGAATGGGAACTGGCTCTGGATAACATTTTAATAACTTATTTGGAAGATGGATCAGAGGGCTACTTCAGATCATCAGTAAATAGTGGGCTCTACTGAGTAGGGAAATATTGGTAATAAAAAAAGAAAAATATTCTGAAGTTGTCTGAATGAGAAAAAAAGGCAGTACATAAGTTTCAAATACATTTACTCATTTAGAAAAAAATAACACAGGTGCCTGGCTGGCTCAATCAGTACAGCATCTGACTCTTGATCTTGGGGTTGTGAGTTCAAACCCCACATTGGGCGTAGAGCTTACTTAAAAAAAATATTGGAATTATCAAAGTTATTTCAAAGAATAGAAAACTATCCTTGGGGTGCCTGGGTTCGTTAAGCAACTGCCTTTGGCTCAGGTCATGATCCCAGGGTCCTGGGATCGAGCCCCACATCAGGCTCCCTGCCCTGCAGGAAGCCTGCTTTTCCCTCTCCTACTCCCCCTGCTTGTGTTCCCTCTCTCGCTGTGTCTCTCTCTGTCAAATAAATAAATAAAATCTTAAAAAAAAAAAAAAAAGGAAAGAAAATTATCCTTACTCTGCAAAAGAAATAAATTATTCACTTTAAATAAATAAATAACAAATTATGCATAAGGAAGTCTCTGAATCATCAATTACAAATCAGGAAGGAAATAGGCAATAGGTGAAGATATCAGGTAGATGACATAGTCCATAAGAAAGGTAACTGAAAGGGGCGCCTGGGTGGTTCAGTCATTAAGCATCTGCCTTCAGCTCAGGTCATGATCCCAGGGTCCTGGGATTGAGCCCCGCATCGGGCTCCCTGCTCTGCGGGAAGCCTGCTTCTCCCTCTCCCACTCCCCCTGCTTGTGTTCCCTCTCTCGCTGTGTCTCTCTCTCTGTCAAATAAATAAAGTCTTTAAAAAAAAAAAAGGTAACTGAAAGAAAACAAATCTACTATTCTGCCTATTAAATTTCAATACATGCCCTAATTTAAATTATTACTTATTAGTTATGTCACTTCACTTAAGAAAAAATAGTGGGGCTGGAGAAATTCCAAAAAGAGTAATTAAATTATGAATGAGAAAGGAAATGAAAGATGACTTACCAAAATCAAAGAAAAAAACAACTCTGTAAGATAGAATCACATTTTCATCTAAAAAAAATGTTTATATGCCATAGGCTGTATATAAAAGGACTAAAAAAAGAACTTGTTAAAATAAATACATAATTTGCCATTTGTAAAATGAAGACACGAATACCTAGTTTAAATAATTAAATTAGGTAATATATGTAAAGCACTTCTGCTATGTAAATGCCATACCAGACAAGTTGGAAATATTAAACAAGAGCAGATCCTCCCCCCACCCTCAAAAAATATCAAAGAAAGCAAACTGAAGAAAACCAAAGATATATCAGATGTCTCTAAACTGGTAAACATGAGGGATCTGTCAGCATGGGTTTACTCACCACAATCCTTTTGGCAGAAACCCCTTAAAGCCTGAAAATTCAGTCTATGAAATTGTTTCCTTCTATAAAAATTTCTTGAAGTGCACACTATGTGCTAGGCATCGTTCTAGGTGAACTTAATAAGTCGGACAATCTCTAGCTTTATGGAGTGTACATTCCAATGTAGGAAAGACACATAATAAAAATAAACCAAAAAAAAAAAAAGTGACTAAGTGATAAGTGCAATGAAGACAATAAACAGGGTAATGAGCTCCTGGAGGGACAGCCACTTCAACCGATATGGGCAAGAAAGGGCTTTGTGAGAATTTAGAGCCAATAACACTTTAAACAACAGGAAAAAAACTTTTACAACTGGTATATCTGCAAGAACAACTATGGCCACCAGGAATGCCACCACAGAGGAAAACTAATTCTCCTCCACACACAGATAGCTACAAGAGCATACTGGACTTTTCTAACAGGTCACTAACCCAGTCCACTTTTATCAGTCCTATCAGTGCATCAAGAACTCAGAGTAATCCTTTCAAATTGCTTAAGAGAATTACATGAAAACTTTGGATTTTTTTTTTTAAGACTTTATTCATACATTTGAGAAAGAAAGAGTGAGCGAGCGAGAGAGCACAAGCTGGAGGAGGGGTAAAGGGGGAGGGAGAAGCAGGCTCCCTGCTGAGCACAGAGCCTGACACAGAGCTCGATCCCAGGACCCTGGGATCAGGACCTGAGCTGAAGGCAGCCGCTTAACCAACTGAGCCACCCAGGTGCCCCGAAAACTTTGGATTTTGACATAATATTGAACAAGTGATCAAGTTCAGTGTATACGTATCAATTAACAGACCTAAAAGTATACATAGTTCAAATTTAAACAGTTCATTTCTAATTAATCTAGTAGACTTAAAAATGAAACCGCCTTTCCTAGCAGATATGAGGTGTTGGAATGGGTAACATAGTTAGATCAACTTTCTGACATTTAGAGGTTAACCAAGTGCTGCAGAACGACACAGTCCCCTGCTCTTATCTTTCAGCAGATGGGCCATGATGAAAGAGCCCCCTTTAAAGGAGATTTATATTCATCTGTTGGTCAAATACATAAGCATATAGTTTGATTATTTGTTTGCTTTGCTTTTTACTCTATCATTTTAAATTAAGAACTAGTAAAAATATCAAAACCACCAATAAAGTCTCAATTATGAAAGAAAAAAAAAAGAATTAGTAAAAATAACACTTGGAGCCTAAATTCTAGTTCTGCCCAGTTTGAGTCATGGCCCTGCTGTAGGGCAGATACATAACCCTGGACACAATCCTGCACTTAAGCCTCTGAAGCTCAAGTTTTTCTCTTCTGAAAAATGAGGGATTTGGACTATAGTTAATTTCAACTTGAAAATTCTATTTAATAACTAACTTGAGAAATGTGAAAAGTAAACTTAGAGATTTTTAATAACAATATGTATAAAATATATCAAAAAAGGAAATTCTAGAGCGGCGCCTGGGTGGCTCAGTTGGTTAAGCGACTGCCTTCGGCTCAGGTCATGATCCTGGAGTCCCGGGATCGAGTCCCACATCGGGCTCCCTGCTCAGCAGGGGGTCTGCTTCTTCCTCTGACCCTCTTCCCTCTCGTGCTCTCTGTCTCTCATTCTCTCTCTCTCAAATAAATAAATAAAATCTTTAAAAAAAAAAAAAAGGAAATTCTAGAAAGGGATGTTGGACTCGGAAAAAAACTAAAAGAACTTCATACATTATTTTACATAATCCTATGTTTACCTTTGTAACAGTGATGAAATCTGGTCCAAAAAAGACACTTTTTACTCCTTCAATTCTAAATAACTGCCTGTGAATAAATAAGAAATAAGAGATAATAAAATGCATTATTACAGAAAAGTTTAAACATATACAAAGGTGGACAGAAAAGTAAAAGAACCTTTACATATCCATCACCAGCATCAACAATTCATGGCCAACAATTATCAACTCATGGCCAATCTTGTTTCATCCTCTTACCCTACGATCTAGCAATCCCACTCTTAGGTATTTACCTAAGAGAATTGAAAACATGCTCCACAAAGATGCATCCATGAATCTTTACAGCAGCTTTATTTATAAAAGCCAAAAAGAATATCTGGAAATGCCCATCAACTAGTGAATAACTGAACAGACCGTGTGTACCCATACAATGCAGGGCTACTCAACAATAAAAAAAGAATAAACTAACGGTACATGCAAAAACAAGGAGGACTCTCAAAAGCATTATGCTAAATGAAAGAAGCCAAAACACAAAAGACTATATGGGGGCATTTATATGAAACCCTAAAAATGTAAAACTGTGGTGGCAGAAAGCTCAATAGTTACCAGGGTGATAGATGTGTTAACTAACTTTACTGTGGTAAGCACTTTGTAAAGCATATGTATATCAAATCAGCACACTGTATACCTTAAACTTATATAATGTTTTACATCAGTTATATCTCAACAAAGTTGGAATTCTTTGCCATGAAACAAAACAGTTACCAGGGTATGGAAGTGAAGCAAGAAGATTGAATGCAAAGAGAAATGAGGGATTTCTGCAGTAATAAAAATGTTCTGTATTTTTATTTTAGTGATGGTTACTGTATATTTATCAAAATATATACAGTATATATTTGTAGATGTGTGTATTTATCATATTTATCATGTATATATTTATCTGTCTATATTTATCGAAACTCTGTATATATTTATCAAAACTCTGCACTATACACTTAAAATTGGTGGATTTCATTTCATGTACATTATACCTCAACTAATTTTTAAAATCCTCTAAGAGGAGGAGGGGAGGATTATAATTTGAAAAGCCCCTACAAGGGATTTTGAAATGCATCTTCCTTTCCCAATCACTGATATATGTAACATACAAGAGCAATTTCCTTTTTCCCTCACCCCTTTTTAGGAATAAAAGCTAACATACTCCAAAAAAGGTTTACCTCTTCTTTGTCTATCATTGCATGAGTGTTACCGGAATTACTATTTTGAAATTATTTAGGAATTTGTCTGAAACGATGTCATCTGGGTCCTCTAATTCAATATTAAATTTACAAGAAGTTACAAGGTACTTGGTTGCATAATATGATCCAATAAACCCAAGCACAGACCTATAAGTAGGTCCCTTGATTGGCTCTGTGCATCTGTACTGTTAGCAAAGCTTTTTTCTTCAAATGAAAGGACGATGCAAAAGAATCAACCTGATCTTTGGGTCATGTCATGGGGACTGCTTTAGGCTAGAGTTCACAGGTTCTGTGCTTTAAGAAGGAAAACGCTGAAAAGGAGTTTCAAACATTATTATACATGCTTTGCCATTTAGGTTACTTTCCTTGGGACAATTTCAACTTCTACAATGTCCAAAATAAAATATGATATCCAGCATTGAACACATATCCCAAACATAGTCTGACTTATTCAGAATACAAGGACTGTTACCTCTATTGAGCTAGATACTGTGACTCTGTTGAAGTTTGACTGATTTTGAGTACAGCAACATATCCAACATAATGAACTAAGAAGTCAGATTCTTCCATCCCACAACTGAGCTATTCATTTTAAACATTTAAATAATAAGCCTTAATATTTATTCCTGTTAGATTTTACCTTACTTGCTTTAAACTATCATGTCGGCCTAATGAAACCTTTAAACATTTCTCTGAATTTTGCCATCTAACATAGAAGCAATTCCTCCCATCTGGAAACTGATAATCTTATCATCATTAGTGTGTCGCAGATAAAGTATTGAATAAATATGCCAACTACAGAGATATTACAGATACTACAGAGCCCTTGTGTATGTCACTAGAGACAGATTTACACTCTGCTTAAATTTTTCTGTCTTGTCCAGAAGGATGGTAAGAAATAGGTCAAATGCCTCTCTGAAGTAAGATACACTACTGTTCATTCATTCAATTACTCATTCATTCAACAAATTTTTGAAAACTCACTGAATATTGACACTGTACTAAGCACTAGAGATACAATGATGAGCAAGACAGACAGGTTTCTGTTTTCAGGAAGCTTTACATTTTGGCTTACAGTAAAAACATTCTCTGTTAAAACAACAAAAACAAGATTAGTTTTGCTTGACTGAAGATAATAAATTCTGTGAGTCCAGGAAATAGGCTACTTTCAAAAGACTAATTTGAAAAGGGCTTTTGCCAACTAAACATCTGACAGAAATAATCTCCAACTCATCTGTAACTGAGCAGTTTTTTTTATTTTTATATTCTTTTAAATACAAAATACATAAATTCATTCTTGATGTAAACATTTCAAACTATTCATATAAAGTGAAAATGCCTCTTGACCACCCCTCCCCCAAATCCACTGTTATCGGTTGGGTGTACATTCTTCCAGACCTTTATGTTAGTGTTTTTTTATGTTTTTTGTTTTTATATAGATAATCATATTGTACTCAGTGTTCTACAACATACTTTCTTCAATTAATAGTTTTTTATTTTTTTCTAAAAGGGGGAGAGAAAAAGAAGGGGGTGGAGGGACAGAGGGAGAGAGAGGGAGAATCTTTTTTTTTTTTTAAGATTTTACTTATTTATTTGACAGAGAGAGAGACAGCGAGAACAGGAGCACAAGAAGGGGGAGTGGGAGAGAAGCAGGCCTCCTGCCGAGCAGGGAGCCCGACGAGGGGCTCGATCCCAGGACCCCGGGACCGTGACCTGAGCCGAAGGCAGACACTTAACGACTGAGCCACCCAGGCGCCTGGGAGAGAGTATCTTAAGCAGGTTCCACACCCACTGCAGAGCCTGATGCAGGGCTCAATCTCACAACCCTGAGATCATGACCTGACCGGAAATCAAGAGTCGGACGCTTAACCGACTGAGCCACCCAGGCGCCCCAAAAGTGTGTCGTAGAGGTCAGTCTATGACAGCAAATGAGGGTTATCCTCATCCTTTTTTAATATCTAAGACTATGGACAAACAAAGTTTATTGAATTCTTCCTACTGATGAGTATTTAGGTTGTTTCCAACTTGTTACCACTACCAACAAGGCTTGTATCACCATGTATATGTATGTGGATGTTCTGTAAGGCAGTGTTTTTCAACTCCACTAGTAGCTTGTAAAATCAATTAGGTATTGACCTGGATTTTTATCTAATATAATAAAACAGAATAGAATAAAGAGAATTAGAAAGGAAATAAGAATGTTTTACACAGGGTCAAAACTGTCCCATCGAATACGTGTGCATGTATCTATCTACCTACCTATGTATGTGTATGAACTGGGTTGTAATATAAAAGGTTTCTTACTGCAGCCTGTAAAAAAAAAAAAGTGTGAAAAACAAATGCTCTAGGGCATACTGTGAGAAGTGGCATGTGTAGGTCAAAGGAAATGTGCATTTTTATTAATGAGAAATTTAAAAAGGGGCGTTTGGGTGGCTCGGTCAGTTAAGCGGCCAACTCTTGATCTCAGCTTAGGTCTCAATCTCCGGGTCCTGAGTTCAAGCCCCACACTGGGCTCCATGTTAGACATGGAGCCTACTAAAAAAAAAAAAAAATTAAATTAAAAAATTAAAAAAACATTCCTGCAATAAGTGTATTATTTCTCGCTCTTCTAAGTGTGACATATAAAACATCTGTGTGTATAGAAGTAGTTATCTAAGCTTTACTTTCTAAATACCCCTGGCAATCAGCATCAAGCTTAGGTTACCAAAAATTTAAACTGATGTAGACTGACTCTAATACTTATTATAAATAATTTCTCTAGCTATCATTACAAAGAAATTCATTCCAGGGGCGCCTGGATGGCTCAGTCATTGGGCGTCTGCCTTTGGCTCCGGTCATGATCCCAGGGTCCTGGGATCAAGCCCTGCATCGGGCTCCCTGCTTAGCAGGAAGCCTGCTTCTCCCTCTCCCGCTCCCCCTGCTTGTGTTCCCTCTCTCACTGTGTCTCTGTCAAATAAATAAAATCTTTAAAAAAAAAAAAAGAAATTCATTCCAATAATTTTGTTTGTCCTATATCATGACATATATCTAACATGTCTTTAGTGAATTTAAAAATTGTCTCTGATTTGTTTTTAAAAAATCATGCCAAATCTAATAACTATTATTATTTATGGTTCTGAGTGGAATATTTTAGAAACTGCTCCATTTTGGCACATCGAAAAAAATTCAACGACCCTTAAGAAAAAAATGAACAAGTTTTCACTGTTTTTTATAAATAGTTTTAAAGATTTAGAATGGAAATTTATCCTATTTTCATTTTGATGAATTTTTTTTAAAGTAAAAATATAAAGTCTTCTTTAGTCCTGCCATAGATCTCTCAAATACATTACTTTTCAGGACAAGGGTTTCCTGATATCAACTGTTATTTTTCTTTTATCTCTTATCTGAAAAGAAAGCATTCTTTACATTGAGAACAGTGCAATGCACATAAAAATGCAATCATTAAACGAGGCTGCCTTACCCCCAAAGTCAGTTATTTATGTTTCTTGGTAAAAGCAAATGAGAAATAGTAATATACCTAGCCAGAGGGGAGCGAAATGCTGCAGCTGGTGTGGGAAAATCCATGGTCCTTGTCTCAAGAACTGGTTTTCCTGGAATAAACTTTAAACTGTTGGGATTGGGGGTATCTTGTGTTTGAATAAACATGTGTCTCACTGAAAGAGAAAAAAGAAGAAAGAATGTTATTCCAAAAAAACAGTAGTTAAGCTTATGGACTATGAAGTGCTCATTTTCAAAGAAACAAGATGTAAGAAAAAAGAAAATAAGGCTTTGTTGCTCAAGCTGATGAAATAATTTTTAAAGACAACAAAAAAGGGGCACCTGGGTGGCTCAGTTGGTTAAGCATCTGCCTTTGGCTCAGGTCATGATCCCAGGGTCCTGGGATCAAGTCCTGCATAAGCAGGAAGCCTGCTTCTCTCTCTCCCTCTGCCCCTCCCACCCTGCTCGTGCTCTCTCTCTCATGCTCTCTCTCTCTCTCAAATAAATAAAATCTTAAAAAAATAAAATAGTTATACCTCCAACAAATAAATTCCTCTGAAAAATCTATGTTACATGGGAACAAGTTTTCAGATGGAACTATTAAAGGAAGGCCTGCCACCAATTTCTGTAAACATAAAGACAACAAGGTTCTTTTAACTTTGGATATGACCAATCATTTCTTGAAGCCTTTCTTAATAATTTATTGGTAATCAAAATCTCCACACACATTAAGCATTCTACCACAGTATCTGAAGAATTAAATCTGGCATTTTTCTACTCAGTCCATTTCTGTAAAACTATATATGCAGAAAGAAAAGGTTTTTTAAAAAAAATGTTTTATTTATTTATTCATGAGAGTCAGAGAGAGAGAGAGGCAGAGGCAGAGGGAGAAGCAAGCCCCCCGCCCAGCAGGAAGCCCAACGCAGGACTCGATCCCAGGACCCCGGGATCATGACCAGAGCCAAAGGCAGACGCTCAACCATCTGAGCCACCCAGGCGCCCAAGAAAAGGTTTTAGAAATACTTGAAGGTAAAAACTGTAAATGTGGGGTGTCTGGCTGGCTCAGTGGGAAGAGCATGCAACTTTTGATCTCAGGGTCGTGAGTTCGAGCTCCACGTTGGGTGTAGAGATTACTAAAAAAATAAATAAATAAAAACTTAAAAACTACAAGTACAAAAAAAATTGAAAGCATAATCTCTATATATTGTCTGAAGTAGAAAATATATGACATCACAACATAAACTTTCTCTTTTGACAATGAACAAAGCTATTTCAAAATAGTAATTTGACTAGGTATTAACAAAATCATTTCAATTATAGTCTAAGCTGGGCTCAATTAGGTATTTCAAAGATGACGCCCAGGTCCATCATCCAGAAAGATGCCCCTGAAAGTGTCATAAGGGTTATAACAAAATAGAATGATCTAAAATAATTCTTCCCATTATGCTTGGTACTAATAAGTAGTAGATTAATAGGGAGGCAGAAGCTTCCCCCAAAATATACATTAATGGTCCTTAAAGTCAATATCAAAGACTAAGATCAGTGGGTTTCCAATTTGAAAAACCTGATGACCACATGATTCCATACCACAGTATTTAAAAGTCCAATTAAAGTAGCTTAACATGCTAACTCAATATTTATGCCTAAATTTTTATTCTGTGATTCAAGGAGCCAGGCAAGGTTTTCCTCTTTTTGCCCCGGTATACAGAAGAGGTAAGGTCTTGATCCAACTCATGTGGTTAGCCAGAGTCAGCCAGCTACCAGAATATGGCCACGAACTGTTCAGTGTAGTGATGGAAATGGGAGAGGGTCCAAGAGCTGAATCCAAACTCTTATATATAGATCCATAAGCACACACAGGCAGACATTTACACACAAACACACAGAGACAGCTCTCAAGGTTCCCTAGCCACAGGACACTGGTCACATTTCAATAATTTTCAAATTCTATCTTCATACCTACTTCCAATATTAATGAAAATAAAAGCGTGTAACATCAACAAAATCGTCAACAAAGCCCATAACTAATTAATTTGGACCCCAAAGAAAGAAAAACTACATTGAAAGTACTATTTTCTAATGCTTGGACAAAAGCTAGAAATTTACTGATTTTAGGTATATTCTTTTTTTTCATTTTTATTTTTTTAAGATTTTACTTATTTATTCCAGAGAGAGAGAGAGAGCGAGCACGAGCAGGGGAGGGGCAGAGGAAGAGGGAGAAGCAGACTCCCTGCTGAGTAGAGAGCCCAATGGGGGGCTCAATCCCAGGACCCCAGGATCATGACCTAAGGTGAAGGCAGACGCTTAACCAACTGAGCCACCCAGGTGCCCTTTTTAGGTGTATTCTTTTTTTTTTTAAAGATTTTATTTATTTATTTGACAGAGAGAGATAGCGAGAGCAGGAACACAAGCAGGGGGAGTGGGAGAGGGAGAAGCAGGCTTCCTGCCGAGCAGGGAGCCCGATGTGGGACTCGATCCCAGCACCCTGGGATCATGACCTGAGCCGAAGGCAGACGCTTAACGACTGAGCCACCCAGGCGCCCTTTAGGTGTATTCTTAATAAAATAAGGAAGCCAGCAGCTTAAAATACTTATGATTTTTGAAACAAACCTATTTGTAACTTCTTTTTGTAATATTTTCATTTGAGAAATCATTTGAGCAATGTTCCAGAAGATGTGTTATTCAAAATACTGAGATTTCATAGATCTATTGGACACTATACTCAGGAGAGAGAGAGAGAGAGAGCGCACACATGAGCGAGCACATGCAAGTGGGGGAGGGGCAGACTCCCCACTGAGTGAGGTGCCCAATGATGTGGGGCTCATGGGGCTTGATCCCAGGACCCTGGAGATCACGACCTGAGCTGAAACCAAGAGTCAGATGTTCAAACTGAGCCACCCAGGTACCCCTGTGCTGCAGATTCTTGAAACTAATGCCAATATTTGTAAGCAAATAATTATAGTAAATGTTATGTTATGACACAGAAAAATGCTATGTTCTTTTTATACCCCTGAACAGAAAATATACAAATTCTTGGGGCACCTGGATGGCTCAATCGGTTAAGCATCCGCCTTCGGCTCAGGTCATGATCCTGGGGTCCTGGGACTGAGTCCTGCATTGGGCTCCCTGCTCCGCGGGAAGCCTGCTTCTCCCTCTCCCTCTGCCTGCCACTCTGCCTACTTGTGCTCTCTCTCTGTCAAATAAATAAATAATCTTTAAAAAAAAAGAAAATATAAATTCTTATCTTTTATGATCCACCAAACTGTATTTAAGCACAGTTTCAATAGCTTCTGAAACATAATTTATTCTAAAAGGTGAAATTTTGGGGTGCCTCGGTGGCTCAGTTGGTTAAGCGACTGCCTTTGGCTCAGGTCATGATCCTGGAGTCCTGGGATTGAGTCCCACATGGGGGGGGGGGTCCCTGCTCAGTGGGGAGTCTGCTTCTCCCTCTGACCCTCCCCCCTCTCATGTGCTCGCTCTCTAATAAAATCTTTTTAAAAAAATTTAAAAAAAAATAAAAGGTGAAATTTTACCTGTGTTATATAAGGTTGTAGGCAGTAGGAAAAGTGGTCTTTGTACGAACTGATGCAGAAGCTGTTTCTTAATGATGTATGGATTCATCATAGGACAGAATCTACATTTAAAAACAAATAAAAATGATATTTCAAGAGATAATCTTTTAAGCTCAGTTTCTACTTCATATATATATATATGCATATATATGTGTGTGTATACATATATATAATAATGAAAACAACAAAGCTTAATTTCATTCTCCATCCACATTATGTCCATTTCCTTAGGCAAGCAATATCTGCAAACAATTTATTTATTTATTTTTTATTTATTTATTTATTTTTTATTTATTTGAGTGAGAGAGAATGAGAGATAGCACGAGAGGTAAGAGGGTCAGAGGGAGAAGCAGACTCCCTGCTGAGCAGGGAGCCTGATGTGGGACTCGATCCCAGAACTCCAGGATCATGACCTGAGCCGAAGGCAGTCGCTTAACCAACTGAGCCACCCAGGCGCCCTCTGCAAACAATTTAAAAACAAGAGCTCAGTGGGCGCCTGGGTGGTTCAGTAGTTAAGCAACTGCCTTCAGCTCAGGTCAGGGTCCCAGGGTCCTAGTACTGAGTCCCGCATCAGGCTCCCTGCTGGGCGGGGAGCCTGCTTCTCCCTCTCCCACTACTCCCTGCTTATATTCCCTCTCTCACTGTGTCTCTCTCTGTCAAATAAATAAATAAAATCTTTAAAAAAAAAACACACAAGATCTCAAGTGGAAATTTATAGCCTTGATAACCGAGTGTACCAGTGTAAGAAACAGAAATGCAACTAAATTTGTGATTTACAACCTGCATTCCCAGACTCTTAGCTATGCATGAAGGATGCAAAGAACTACCAACTGTTTCTTTTCTTCTTTCTAAATTAAAAAAAAACTAGGTAATAGAGTCACACAGTTCAAAATTCGAAGGGAACAAAATTAAATACTGTGAAGTCCCTCCCTTTTCTGTCTCTACCACCATGTCTCCCTGGTAAGAGAGAACCAATACTACCTGTTTTTTGTGTGTGTGTGTTTTTTTAAGATTTTTTATTTATTTATTTGACAGAGACAGAGACAGCGAGAGAGGGAACACAAGCAGGGGGAGCAGGAGAGGGACAAGCAGGCTTCCTGCTGAGCAGGGAGCCTGACGCAGGGCTCGATCCCAGGACCCTGGGATCATGACCTGAGCTGAAGGCAGACGCTTAACGACTGAGCCACCCAGGCGCCCCAATACTACCTGTTTTGAAAGGTATTTCAATACTTCAAAAAGTCTAACAGAAAGTGTACTATTCCCCTCCAACCTGCTAAAGAAGCCAACAATCTATATATGCTTTTTGATTGGAAACCTCTTAAGCCAGTGTTTGTAACTTTGGTTATTTCACTGTAATAGAGAAGTACTGATTGGCTATTTTTTTCATGGGCTTTGACAAATTAAAAATGACAGGAGAAGGGAAAAATAAATATTATTAGAAAAGGAAAAAAAACTTCAGTAGTGAAAAATTTTAGAAATCGGATGCAAGTTACTTTAAAATCCAGGTTACTTTTTGTTTGTTTGTTTTTTAAGTAGGCTCCACACCCAGCATGGAGCCCAATGCTGGGCTTGAACTCAGGACCCTGAGATCAAGACCTGAGCTGAGATCAAGAGCCAGATACTTAACCAACTGAGCCACCCAGGCACCCCCAAATCCAGTTTACTTTAAAATATATTGCTACCATTACAATTCTCATTTTGCATAAGTTGCTGAAGAATTTTAAATATGTGTATGATCACTTAAACTTTCTCTGATTACTTTTATCTGCAAACTCACTAAGGAAAAGGAGCATCTTCATTTCTGTGACCCTCAGCAGCTAGGATGGCCTCAGTTCCTCATCTCAAAGAATATTCACAGCTACCTCAAAGATTGGGCCAAAGAAGGACCCAGATACTCCATGTAAAGTGCTTAAATCAGTGCCAAGCACTTGTACCAAATGTTAGCTAGCATTATTATGATGTGATAGGTGCCCAATAATGAATTACTGAATGAAGTTTAAGGTTTGGGGTGAAAACATTTTTATCTATAGCTCACTGCCTAAATCTTTTTTTTTTTTTTTTAAAGATTTTATTTATTTATTTGAGACAGAGAGAATGAGAGAGAGCATGAGAGGGAGGAGGGTCAGAGGGAGAAGCAGACTCCCTGCTGAGCAGGGAGCCCGATGCGGGACTCGATCCCGGGACTCCAGGATCATGACCTGAGCCGAAGGCAGTCGCTCAACCAACTGAGCCACCCAGGCGCCCACTGCCTAAATCTTGACTACACTGGAATATGGAAATACAATGAAGACCAGTATTCTTGTCCCTTCAGCCCAGGGAAAAAGCAACAGAATGCATGAATACGGTGGGAGATGGGTTTAACGTGACAAAACCGTAAAGGTTAATAGTAAAATTATTCCAGTAAGACATCTATCCAAACATAACAGAGGGGGCCAGGAGGTGACTAACAAAAAAATCCTCCAGCAAACTTAATGCATTTACACTTCAAGGGCATTATTAACACTAAAACTCCTTAATATTCACTAGGTGAAACCTTGTTAGGCCCTGTTGTTCCTTTGTTCCAGAAGCAAAATCAAGGTACAACACCTACTTAAGTCATCATTCCTTTTCACCTAACCAACGTTGTGGACAGATGTCACTGGGAGGTCAAACTCAAAGGCAGGTTGCACAGAAGAGGAAAAAAACAAGAGAAGAGAGTGGGTTTAGGTGATGGGGAGGAAGTCTAGGGGTCTGGATTCTCATCAGAGCTCCACCACTTAGAAGCTGTGTGACCTCATGCAGGTCACGTCCCCTTTCTGGGCCCACTGGGAAAATGAGGAAATGAGATGAGGTACCCACTCCCATTCCGTAGACATTCTGATTTGTGTTTAAAAAGCAGAGGGAGGGAATGCACGTGATAGAAGGGCTGGAGGGGCCACACGATTCTAAAAACAGCTCCTCCGTGGAGTCTCTGCGGGCCTCCCCACCGTAGGCACTCAGGCGCCGGGTTTCGGAGCCTGGGACGGGGCGCTGCAGATCCCGCCCGAACTGGGGGCGCAGAGCCGCCTCATGGATAGCCGCCCACCGCAGGGCGAAATCCCCAACGGCGGGGACCCGGGGGACCCAAAGGCTCGGTCGGGGTGCCTCTCCCCGCCCCCACGGGGCGGGGGTGGCGACCGCTCTGCTAAGCCCAGCGGCACCCCCGTGCGGAGCTCCTAGCTCGTCACCTACCGCCTACGCAGCCCCGCGGCAGCAGCCGCAGCTCCCCAGCCCAGCCGGGCCGCCGCTGCCATCTTAGTCCCAGGGCGCCGCAGTGGGGCGGCTCTCCCCCTTCGCCGAGCGGCGGAAGCCCCGCGCAGGCGCAGGCGCTGGCAGGCCGGGAGCAGGACAGGCTCCGCGGAGAGCGCACCCTGCCGGCCGCGGGCGGCGCGGCTATACGGGCGAGCCGCAGGAGCTGGGCCGCGGCTGCCGAGCACCTTCGCGCACCTACACAGTAAGCCTGCGCCAGGGCGGGGAGAAGTCCCGGAGACGCCTGCGCAGGCGCCCTCGGTGAGGCACGCGGCACTGGGCGCGCACGCGGAGCCCGGCGTCACCCTTCCTTCTTGATGGCTGCTGTGCTTACAGGGACGGAGGCCTGCAGGTGGAATGATGTTTCCCACCCAGAAACCGGCCACAGGGCCGCTCGGAGGATCCTGCTCACCCTCAGGGCCCGGCTCAATGGCGGCCTCAAAAGACTCCCTGGAGCATCCCCTTGGAAGAGTTCTGGCCTTTTCCAGCAAGATGCCTGCCCTTCTACCATGGGGCTGAGGCAGATCTGTCTTATCCTTCTGTTAGGCTGGGCTTAGAGAGCCTGTCATCTTGGACCGAGCCCCACGGAGCACTCACCTACTGCGGTGCTGCCCTTTGCTGTATAAGCATGAGTGTTTGACTAGTTTCCAGTGCAAAGTACAAAAGCCCCTTAACTCCTCTCCCAGAACTTTTCTTGAGTATTCCGCTTTCTCTAGGACAACGGTTCTCAAGATGTGGACTGGGGGGCAGCAACAGATGGGAACACATTGGAAAGGCAAATTAGCAGGGCCCGCCTTAAACCTACTGAATCAGTCTCTGAAGATGGGGTCTAGTAATTCGTTTTGGGTGTGTTTTTTTTTTTTTTTTTAAGATTTTATTTATTTGACAGAGAGAGACACAGCGAGAGAGGGAACACAAGCAGGGGGAGTGGCAGAGGGAGAAGCAGGCTTCCCGCGGAGCAGGGAGCCCGATGCGGGGCTCGATCCCAGGACCCTGGGACCATGACCTGAGGCGAAGGCAGATGCTTAACGACTGAGCCACCCAGGCGCCCCTGGTTTTGGTTTTTTAAAAAATTTTTTTTCAAGATTTAATTTATATATTTGAGAGAGCGGGAGCACGAGCAGGATGAGGGGCAGAGAAACAGGCACCCCGCTGAGCAAGGAGCCCAAACCCAACTGGATCCCAGGACTCTGGGATCATGATCTGAACTGAAGGTAGACGCTTAACTGACGCTTAACTGACGGAGCCACCTAGGCGCCCCTAGTAATAATTTTAATTTAATTTTAATTTTAATTTAAGGTTTTAATACCACCTCCAGCTAATATTTGAAAGCCACTGCTCTAGAAGGTAAGCACAGTACTGGTTTCTGGACTAACACACCTGTTGTACAGATTGGAGCCACACCGAGATAACCCTGGTGGTTTCTATGGCCCAGAGAAGTGTCTAAGGGGGTTGGGGGGGTTGCTGCAGACCTGCCGCAGGTGTGGGCTTGGACACTGAGCAGGCCGTGGTTCTTGAGTGCAGGTTACGTTTTGGAAGCTCTTGCTTCAGAGCCAAATGTCATAAAAAGAGTTTTAATCTTTTATACATTTTTTAAAAAATTTTTATTTATTTGACAGAGAGCGGGCACAAGCAGGTGGAGAGGGAGAAGCAGGCTCCCGGCCGAGCAAGGACCCCAATGTGGGACTCGATCCCGGGATTCTGGGAATCACCACCTGCGCCAAAGGCAGTTGCTTAACCAACTGAGCCACCCAGGCGTCCCTCTTTTAAACACCTTTAATCTTTAGTTTTTCACCTCTCATTCCTCAAACCACTGAAACCGCTTCTCGTGTCCCAGATTATTTCCCACTTCAGGGCCTTTGCATAAATTGCTCCCCTTGTGAGGAATGCCTTTCCCCCCACCCGCTCTCTCTTTTTTTTCCCCTTTCTCCCTCTTTTTTTCTTGAATCGCTTGTATTAATTCCCCTAGGTCTGACTGTAAAGTAGAGATATTCTCCCTAAATATCCTACCTTTTGTGACACCTCCTTTCATCCCCACCCAAATAGTCTCCTTCATTATTCTCTTTCAATATACCCTCTCCTTTTCCTTCATAGTGCATTATCTCAAGTAATATTGTGGATTTGGGTATTAATTTTTCTAATGATCCTTTCCCTCCCATATCCTAAGACTTACAAGGGGCATGTCTGTTTCTTTACTCTTGTACCCCAGCACCTACTGTAATACCCGGCACATAGTAGGTGCTCAACAAGAATGTAGTCACCTCAACCCTTTTGTCAAATCCTGTACACTCGTTCACTCTGTCTGATGACCGTGCGGACAGCAGAAAGAGAGGGCCTGGCCTCATTCACGCCTTAGCTGGTGCTAAGCTGAGGTAGGGTAAAGCATCTCATGGAGAAGACTGTGGCCACTGGCACATGAAACTGGGCACAGCAGCCGGGTGGACAACTCAGAAACAGATGTGAAACAGCCTTCATCTTTTCCCCAAATATACTAGAGGGAGGGTGACTCTTTTAGGAAAAAGTAAAACTACTACTTGAGATATCTGGATCTTTCTATTTACGCCCCACTTCTTCCTCTCTGTCTCTACACCACGCATGTACACACACATACACACACACACTCATTCATTCACGATGATAACTGATAGACAACTGATATTTTCCCCAATACCGTTTCAATAAGATGTCAGCTCTGTTTTAATTGTTGGCTAAGAAGATTAGCAGACCATGTGACATGGACCAAAAAATCATTTATTTACTCATTCACCATTTATTCAATAACTATTTTTTAAGAATGAAATCTTTCCATTTGCACTGATGTAGATGGGGCTAGGGAGTATTATGCTAAGTGAAATAAGTCAGAGAAAGACAAATACCATATGATTTCACTCATATGTGGAATTTAAGAAACAAAACAAGCTCAGATCAAAAATAAGAGAAATCAGGAAGTAGATGCTTAATTACAGAGAACAAATGGATGGTTACCAGAGGGGAGGTGGGTGAGGGGTTAGGTGTAATAGGTGATGGGGATCAAGGAGTGCACTTGTGATGAGCACTGGGTGAGGTATGGAAGTGCTGAATCACTGTATTGTACACCTGAAACTAATATAACACTATATGTTAACTGGAATTAAAATAAAAACTTTTAAAAATGATTTAAAAATAACTATCTTTTAATTAATTAATTTTCAAAATTCATGTGTAGTTAACACAGTGTTACATTAGTTTCAGGTGTACAATGTGATTCAGCAATTCTATACATTACTCAGCGCTCACCAAGATGAGTGTACTCTTAATCCCCTTCACCTGTTTTACCCATCCCCCACCCACCTCCCCTCTGGCAACCACTAGTTTGTTCTCTATAATTAGGAGTCTGTTTTTTTGTCTCTTTTTCCCTTGTTCATTTGTTTTCTTTCAATAACTATTGAGTGCTTTCCTGATAGCATGGTGCCAGGCACTCTGCTTTGTCTTAGGGATTGAGGCAGACAATGCTAGACACCTTCCAGTGTTCACGTTCCCCTTCTTTACTAGCCAATGCTGACTTTGCTCAGGTGGCAATGTGTTCAGTCTAAAAATAAGAATTATTATTCTCCTAGCCTCTCGCTCATCTATGGCTTGTCACGTGGCACAGTTCCATTCAGTAAGACAAATGTGGAAGACGGCCAGAACTGTCCGAGAAGGTTTTGCTTTCCCGCTCTGGGCGCGGGCCCTTCTTCCTGCTTGCATGGGGGCGGGAATGCTGGAGTCAAGGCAGCCACGCTTCAGCCATGACATCCCTGAGGCAATGAGCCAACAACCACCAGCAACCACCCTCTTCCAGACTACCTGTGGTGCGAGAAAAAAGATCAGCCACGGTCTTGCTGATGCCACAGGTTAATCAGGTTTCCCATTACTCACGAATGATCAAAATCCCTGATACGAGGATCTAAAGATGAACAAAACAATTCGTGCTCTCAGGGAGCTCCTAGAGGAGAGATGTGTAAGTCAATGAAGGCAGCCCCAGGGGACAGCATGCTCCACAAGGGCTATGTCCAGGGCCCACTGGTGGCAGGTGGGAGAAGTGAATGAGGACTTAGGGGTGAGAGGAGAGCCCGAGGAAGGCTTCACATAAGAGGAAAGTCTTGTGTTGAGTGTTTAAAGAAAAAGAAGCGTTAAGATGTTCCAGCAATGGCTGGAACTGGACCACCAGCACCAACCCTGGTTCTGCTGCTCACTCAGTGGTCTCACTGGATGTGAATTGCGTGCCAGCATGCAAATTTATCTTCTTGATCTTGTGCCCAGTGCCTGGCATTTAAGAGAGGTTCAAAATATACTTGCTGAATTGAAACCTCTCTGAAGTCCCAGAGAACCAGGCACCTTCTACCATATCTTATTTCACGATTATGCTAATTATTCAGTCATTTACCCCCTCTAGAAAGCGTACAGCACAAGGGTGCCTCCATTGGTAGCTGAGGTATCTCGCATGCCTAGAACAGTGCCTGGCACACAGTAAGTGCTCAATAAATACTTGTTGAAGAAATGAGCCCTAAGTGTTCTCATCTGTAAAAGGTAGATAACAATATCTATCAAGGGTGCCTGGGTGGCTCAGTCGGTTAAGCATCTGACTTCAGCTTGGGTCATGATCTCAGGGTCCTGGGACTGTGTTGGGCCCCTTGCTCAGCAGGGAGCCTGCTTCTCCCTCTTGCTCTGCCCCTCTCCCCTGTTGCACTGTCTCTCAAATAAATAGAATCTTTAAAAAAATATATCGATCAAAAAGGGTTGAGTGGATTAGGGAAAAATGCATTTCAAGTGCTTTGCACTGAACTTGTCACGTGGGTAGCTATAATGATGTTTTTGTCTTCTCCTGTAAAACTTGGAGACCCATTCCTGACACATCTACGAGCAGCAACACCTGAGGTCAGCAGCTGAGTCTGTTCTTCTTAGAACTGAGATAGGTTTGAGCATTTCTGTGGCAGTTCGAGCCCCCAGGAAGGGGACTTGAAACCAAGATGACCCACAAAATAAGAGGGCTGTTTTGTTAAAACATCCCAGATAGGGTGAGCCCTGAGCCCTGGGTCCTGCCGCTTTAGTAGCAGGCTGCAGCAGCCCCTGTCTGGACAGAGAGGTGGGAGGATGCGGCACCGTGGGTGCCTTGGCCTTCTGGGGCTGATTCGGCAGCAAGTGGCAGAGCAGTTGAAGCAAATATGTAAATGAGAGCAGAAC